AATCCTCCATCTCTCAACCAGATGCTGAACCCACTGCTAAGCCAAGGCTGCCTTTTCTGGGTAATGCTACATCCTCACTCAAACAACTCAGGACAAAATAACTGGGTGAGTCTGCAGTGTTCTCTTTATCCACTAAAAAGTACTAAAAATATTCCATGAAGGCAAACAATAAAAGGAAACTTGTAGAAAGAGTTTTCCTATATGCATACTTCAATATAAAGTTTTCATTTTAATTATTTCTGAGACTATTTCACAACTAAATGCTTCAGTGAAAACTTGACTAAATTATATTTTAAATCTGATTGTGAATCTTATAAAAAGGAAAGGTACAATGAATTGTGTTAATACTAATGTAAGTATTTAGTTTACTATGTTTTTCAGTGTTTTAAGGACATAATTTGTATTGCAAATATATTTTTCAATGAAAAATTCAACAATCAAGATTTATTTGTAGAAAAGCAATAAACAAAATAAGTCTACTTTTCTTTCTTAAAAATTGCTTTAGTCTGATAGTTTAGAAACTAGTATTCACATCTCCCAGTCACATACAAAATCAGTTTCAGAAATGGAACTTGCAACCTGAAGCAAAGTTAGAAGTCATGTCACCAGGAAAAAGAGAATCACCAGGTGAGAGAGCTGGAAACTGACGCCTTCAAGATAATATCAATGATTAGTTTGGGGATTAATTAATAAAAGTAGTTAGTGTGCACTGTTCCTTTTAATAATTAAATAATTGTGATCTGAATTTACTACAGTCTATTAAAGTAATGGAAATTACAATAAAATTAATTAAGTTAAAGCAGTGCAATTTACTAGTGAAGTTTAAAAGGTTAGATCTGCTTTTTAGGAGCAGGAAAATACCACACAAGTTTTATATTAAAAAAAAACAAACAAGACATTGAAAATGCAAGTATTTGAAAACTTCAAAAACCTCTGGGATATCATAACCAGATTCTACAGACAAGACCAAAGATCTGATGTCAGGCACGCTGAAATGAAGAACAAAACTGGTGGCCAGCTGGGAAAATGAATAAAATAACTTGCCTATTGCCACTCAATAATATGACAGAAGCAAGGACAAGGACATCTCTAACTTCTCTTGCAATTTGGTAATTTTTATATCTGCAAGCTTTCATTTGCTACATTTTTCAGCTTCAATAAAAAGTGGGGCAATGACTGTAAAAATAATTGTCTTTTTCAGTACCCAAGCGGGTTCAAAGCCAGACTAACTCCATATTCTCCAGTGGACGACCCAGGACTATTGTAGGAAAAGAAATTAAAGAGATAGTGAACTGTATCATAAGTGGTATAAAATAAAAGACTCCTGCCTCTAGAGTGTGTGTTGTTACAACGTTCAGTATTGCTTTGACGTAGTTTTTGAAACGACAATCAAGAGTATGTTTTAAAATAAATAGTTGGGATGTTATAGTCAGAATAATTGAAGGTGGAGTCTTTAATTTCCCATTTGAAATTTCAGAAACTTCAATTTATTCCAATTTCAGCAAAACTGATTTTTCCAATAAAACTAGTCCTATGGGGTTTTCTCCTGACAACTCTTAATGGCAGTTGTTCTGGGTTAAGCACGAAGAATTTAAAGGGATCTAATTGCCAATGCATAAGTTTTGTGTCTGCAGAGACTGGCAGGAGTTTTATGATTCACTTCAGTGAATAAACCCAGTGAAGGCTGAGCACTTCTGAAAATCCTGCTGCAATTTGGCATCTTCTTGTTTATTTAAATTGTGCAGGTGTTAGTTATTATCTACCAGTGTTCACCACATAGAAACAAACCAATAAAATATGTGTTTGCTATTTCTGTACACCTGAGGTGAAGCAGCGTCTATAACCTGTGGAATGAAAATTATTGCCTCGGGCCATATTTATGCCCAGCACTGTTATTATTTATGTCTTTTTCTTCCTCTTTTTATATTATGCATAGCTGATGATCAAAGGGCAGCAGTCTCTGACTTCCATATCCTCCCCTGGATATGTCATCATTCAAACAATCCATTCATTAATTCATTCCAAGGCTGTCATCAGGGGGATGCTGTCAGTTGCAATGAATGTCAGAGCAGGCCACAAATGCACTGTATATACATTATTATGAAAGTTAGTGGAACTTGAAGCCCTATTCACAACACAGTTCTATTTTCATAATATATGTTTTCCATTTCATTCAACAAAGAACCACAAAATATTTGCTTTCCCGGGTATATTCCAGTCCTCTCTCCATAATGCTTTCAACTCACTTAAAAGGAGACTATTCTTCCCTGAAATATGTCATGTAATTTAGCAGAGACATTTAAAAAGGGGATCAAGAACAATACCAAGCTTATACCTAGATCTCCACATCAAATGCAAGAAGGCAGTATGAGCACAAGTTTAGCAAACCTTACCTTCAGTGAATTTCATTGTGCTACAATACTACAGCAGAGAAACTGGGGAGAACAGACACTGCAGGACAACAGGCCAGTCTCAGCACTAACACAGGACTCACCTAAGCCTTGGCAGATGCTGGAGGAGAAACACGTAGTCAAAACACATACAGAGGTGTCTCTGGGCTTGGATAATCTGTTGGTACAAACACCCAGCAAACTGGTCTTCAGTCACTAGGTACCAGCTAATTTCTGCAGAAAGTAACCTGATTGCTATTGCATTTTTTACTCAGGAGTGTTTAAACGGTACCATCACAGTTTTGGAAATCATGTTCCAGTGTTATTACTTGGCAATTAAATTATCGTCCCTGGATCTTGAAAGCCCTTTTACATGATAGATAGCAATGTAAATCATTGCATTAGAGTATTAAATATTTTTACTTATCCTGAGGTCACGTTTTAACCTCTTCCTAAAAGTTTTGTTTCAGATACTATTTTTTTCCCCGCTATACTTCTCTTTTGCAGTACAGTTAAAATTTCTGGAGTATTTTCAAGCCCAGAAGGTTCCATCACGTTTGAAAGCGAGTGCCTGCGATCAGCTCTTTACACGGGTGCTCGGGAGGTGGCTGGCAGCCCACGCTGCGGGACGGCCCCGCACGCTGGCGCAGGGCAGGGGCGCGGCGGCCGGGGCTGCAGCGGAGGCGGCGGCCGGCAGAGGGCGGCCCCGCGCCGCCAGCCTCGGCTCGGCAGAATCACAGACTCGCAGAACCTCGCAATGGTTTGGGTTGGAAGGAACCTTGAATCAACATCTCAGGTTTCAACTCACCTATGACTAGGTTGTGCGAAGCGCCATCCATGCTGGTCCCCAACACTTCCAAGAACGGGGTATCCACAACTTCTCTGGGTAACCTGTGCCAGTGTCTCGACAGCCTCACAGTAAAGAATTTCTTTCTGATATAAACTTACCCACTTTGATTTTGAAGCCATTCTCTCTACCCACTTTGTGATTGAAGCCATTCCCCATTGTCATATTACTACAGGCCCCTGTAGAAACTCCCTCTCCAGCTCTTTTCTAGGCTCCCTCTAGATACTGGAAAGATGCTCTAAGGTCCCTCTGGAGCCTTGACCAGGATGAACAACCCCAACTCTCTCAACCTGTCTTCATAAGAGAGCTGCTCCAGCCATCTCATCATCTTCATGGCCCTGCTCTGGACTTAATCCAACAGGTCTACATCCTTCCTTTGTTCGGCACCTCAGAACTGGATACAGTGCTCCAAGTGGGGTCTCACAAAAGCAGAGTAGAAGGGGAGAATCACCTGCCTTGACCTGCTTGTCACACTACTAAATAACCAAAAAATAGCAAATAAGCACCCCTATGTAACAAGCATCTAGAGGTGAAGCATTTCTGTCAGAGTACATACGCTGACTCCAGTTTTTGGAGTGTAAGATTTTCATCTGGGCAAGTTACGAGGGAATACCACTCAATTATGTCTGTCTGGAAAAGAAAGACCAACTTCACGTTGTCCATTACATAGAGAACTCCAGTCCTAGCAGATCTAGTTTAGAGGTAACTTTAGCAGTCACACTAACAGGTTGAGGTGGAGCGCCAGGAGCATCTAAAGCAGTAATCACAGGGAGAAAACACCCTCGAACTCCCTCCAGAATATTACAGACAGAAACTTGGGGATTTTACTCAAACTTTAGCCTGCTAAGTTTTGGGTTTGTTTGTTTGTTTGTTTGTTTTAAGGCTTTTCTTTCTCTAATGGAAGATTTCAGGAAATTTAGAAACAATACTTTTTTATTCCTTTAGAAGGCGTGGTTCTGTTTAAATAATTTTTTTTTAACAGAAAATTCTTTCAAGCTTTACTAAGTTTCTATAATGAATCAGTCCCAGTTTCTGTGTAAATGGTAACATTTCAGTGTTTTTCAGTCTCCACTGTTCTCAAGACCTTCGAACAAAATCCAGGTGAAAGCCTTTTTTTTTTCCCTTTAGCACATTGCCTCATTTTCCACGTCTTTCCCTGGTGCTGGGAAGCGTGTCCCTGTGCCGCTGCTCAGCTGATGGCTCGCTTTAGGGCCTGACCTGTCCAGCTTCGCGGGTCTCCGCTGAAGCCACGGCCGCACTGCACCCACCTGCCGTTCGGGTGATGCTCCCCCCATCTCTGACTCAAACCCCGCCTGTGCCAGGGGGAAGGCTACGCACAAACTTCGCTTTTCACGCAGACAGAAGTATCTCCAGCGACTCGTTTGTGACCGCGGTGGTGCCACCTTGACGGCCGGAGTGCCGGGGTGCCCCTGCGGGGAGGGTGAACGCAGGGAGGGGGCGGGACGCTCGGCAGGGCTTGTCTCGGGTTCCCTAGGACAGAGCGGGTGTGAGTCACGGTCCCGGCTCTCGGCTCTGCTTTTGTGGGAGTGGGCGGCCCGCCGCAGCCCCGGGCAGGGAGCGCTGACCGCCCTCGGCGCCGGGGGAAGGACGGTGCGAGCGCCGAGCTCCCGGCCGCCCGCGGCGCCGCCCGCCGCCCAGCCCGTGCCCGCCCCGCCGGGGCCGCCCCGCGGCTGAGGGAGGGAGCGAGGGCGCGGCCGGAGCGGCAGCGGAGCCGGCGAGCCCCGGGCGGGCGGTGCGGGAGCATGGCCCCGGCGGGGCGGCTGTGCTGTGCCGCGCTGCTCTGCGGCGCCCTCAGCCTCTGCAGCCTGCGGGCCGCGCCGCGCCAGCCCGACACCCTCTACTTGTGGATCGACGGCCAGCAGGCGCGGGTGCTCATCGGTAAGTGCGGCCGCTGCCCCCGAGCGGCGGGAGGGAGCCCGGAGCCGAGCCCGGCCCCGCGGGGCTGCCGCACATTGCGCCCCTTTGCCTTCCGCAGGCTTCGAGGAGGATATTCTGATCGTGTCCGAGGGGAAGATGGCCCCGTTCACCCATGACTTTAGGAAAGCCCAGCAGAGGATGCCCGCCATCCCTGTCGGCATCCACGCCATGAACTTCACTTGGCAGGCAACGGGACGGGTAGGTGCCGAGATGGGGCCGCGGCAAGGGGCGAGGAAGGCTCTGTTAACACGAGCAGGTGGTTCGGCTTTGGAGTAGCTGAAGAAACCCTCTCCGAGGAGTGCTGGGGCAGCCCTGGGTGCGGGAATCCGCGGTGCGGGCGGGGGAGGGCTCGGGGAGCAGCGAGAAGCGCGTTGGGACGGCCGGGAAAGCGCGTTGGGAAGGGGCTGTGAGGGGCGGGGGAGAACCCCCAGGCTGGTGAGGCGTGAGGCAGAACTCACCACGAACACCCCAATCGACTGTGCTGCCGTGAAATTTTCTACTGGACGGTAGTTGCGTGGATGCGATTTTCTTCAGCTTATGGACATACACTACAGGCTCTTCATCTATCTCTATGTACTAAATGTGCAGGCTTAATTTGTAGTTCTAGTAAACAACCGTTCTCTTCTGTGGACTTAATTTTACCAAGTTAAATTGCAAAACCACATAAGTCTGCAGTTTATTGAATCCTGTTGGATTTTGTTGAAAATGTAAGACTCTGTGACATATTTTTGTGAAGAAACATATGTATGATTTGACACACTGACAGCATGTGTTGAATTTGCATAAGGCTGGAACTTGTTAGTGTACATTATCATGGATACAGAAAAAAGTATGATGGCATAAAATCCTGGATAAAATTATTTCATTTTTACAATGCTGAACATTGACTTTATACAACAGAGAACTTGGTAGAGATGAAACAATGTTTACATTTAAATAGCGAACATTGATTATATAATTCAGCTAATTGCAGTTTCACAAATTTGGTTGTGGTTTTGGTTGTTTGAAAGTACTCTATCTACAGTACTTGTTTGGCTTCAAGGTGTTGTCTGACGCCCTTGCAATTTTTGCTGTCCTCACAAAGCCTTTGGGTTTAGGAAATGCTTCACCCCCTCCTCCAGAGAGGAAGGTGAATGTGGAGAGACAAAACTTATTCACAAAGGCTAAGTGACTTGCTCTAGGTCTTTGGTGTTCCCATCAAGCTTTACAGAGAAAACAACTTTGTATGTCAAGGGTTGGCGTTTAATACCTAGAAATAATAAGTATCTTTCGGGACTGTATTTCCCACCGCACTTCTGTGCCAGCTTCAATTGCTGTTGATGATAAAACTAGCTCTTTTTTGAATGGGTGATCAAGATGCTAGACTGAGCACTGTACTTCTCTTGTATTTCCTTCTTGTGCTCTCCTCTCCCTCCTTTGCCTCCTGCCTACAGGTAGGTCTTTAGGAAAAGGTGGTTTCAGTGAGACGAGTCACAGGCTTAAGGACAGTGTAGGAAAATGTTCTGCTTGATGCCACTTGCAGGATGAAATCCTTTCTGAGCAGTTGCAAAGGCCTTTAACCCATTAGTCCTCCTATTTTCTGAATTATTGAATTCCTCTTAGACAAAGCATTCACTTTTAGTAAGTGAAATATCTAAATGGTTAAAAAGATTCTACATTTCTTGAGAATTTCCAATATTTTGTGAGGGGAAGAAATGAATACATTTTAACTTTTTTCCAGTGTTCTATTTTGGTTTTAAGTATACATGTTTTTAGAAGTTTCCATTAACACATCCAGTGAAGTGCTAGAAACATTCTACCTTTATTCTGTACTTTTCTGGGAATTTCCTAAGTCAGGGAAGGGAAAATGAGAAGTGGAAGGGAGGAGAAGAGAAAAGAGAAGGAGAGGAAAAGAAGAGAAAGGGAAAAGAGAAGCAAAAAAAAGAAGAAGGAAGATAAGTGGAAATTAGTAGTTTTTGAAAGGAAAAAAGCACTTTAAATGCTGAAGTGATAGACTGCTTTCTGCAAAATAGCTGCTAACTAGCATACTGTTGCCTGTCCTTTGGTAAAACTGAAATAAGTCTTCTGTGAGTCTTGTGCCTTATAGACCTCTTCACCCTGTATCCCACTTGAAATTTGAAGATGTGTCTCTGGGACTCCAAGGTTTGAGGGGCTCTCAGTAGTATATGCCTCACATCTAGGAGTAGCTAGACCCTTTTTGGGTCTACAGATATAAGGCTTCTCTTGAGTAGGTTCAGGAGATCCTGTCCATGTCATTATGTGGTTCCTAGTCCTGATATCAACAAGATGGGGCAGTGAGAGAGCAGCTGGGTGGGTGTCTGGCAGCCAGACAAGGTTAACCCACCACCCTTGGCATCTCCAACAGAGCACCTTAGCATGTATAAATATCCTGTGGGTGGATCCCATCTGCCTTCTCCTGGGATAAATGATGATCCACCTTTGAGGTGAGTAAATAATCCAACCCAGGGAGTGGCAATACTTCTCAGTCCTGCATGGCTGAATATTGTAACTCAAAAATATCTTGTTGAAAGGCACATTTTAAGGATTAGATTACATCTGTATTCTGTGTAAACAGAAGTGCTTGAAACTCATTGCATTTAGGTGTTATGCTTCTGATTAAGTGGCCTTTGTGTCCTGAATACATTTTATGTGAAAAAGATTTTGTTTGATAAGCAATAATTAAAATAATTTTCACTAGAAAACATTAACCAAAGAAAAGCATTAGTTGCTTTTAATTTCTAGTCCATTACTTCTAATTAATTATTAGGAAATATAACAGGAAACCCAAAATTTAAGGGTCTGAGGGTGCTGAATGTATAGGTTTTTTGCTAGTGAAACCAGGATGAGCTAGGGGTGACAAGAATGTTAAATATATGTTTTTATGCACTTTATGCTTCTACCTATAAATTAAAGCATAATGTTACAGATACTATGTTTTCTTTAAAAAAATAAATGTAATCTGTGTAAATTGACAGTTACAAAGCTTGCTCTTTGAATTGAAAGGTTTAAAAGGGCAGAAATCAGTGATAATATGTAGTATATAGTATGCATCTGTGTAACCACTAGAGCTCACTGGTGTGCTTCTTGATCTTATTCTGGATGGTTTTTGCAAAAGAAGATACAGTGGCTTTTAGTGGTCTTGTCCTCTGTGGAAGATTGAGCTAAAAAACTTCCCAGTGAGACCCTATCACACTGATTAATGCTGCAACGTTTTACTGTGTCCACTAGTGGAATTTAGTGAAGATTTTGGTGATAGCATCATCTCTACAGCATTTAGGAATTTATGACAAGTATTTAATCTCCAAATCCACAAAACCCAGCATGTATTTTTTTTAATTTTCTTTGGGAATTCTGACAGCTGTAAAGTTCACATCTGGGAGAGTATTGGTGGGGTTAAAAAAAAAAGTTGATTATTGCCCAGGCAGCAAGTGCTCAGTGACAGAGCAGCAGCCCAGTTGATTTAACAGATAGGAGGTGAAAAAAAGAAACCAAAAAAGCAAGTTGGAATTTTTGTTGTGTAGCATTCTCTGATCCACAGGTCTGATCCACAGAAATAGTCAATCTGGGCCACAGCCTGCCCAGGCTGCTTTCTTCCTTTCAGATATGGGAGAAATATTTATGGTCAGAGGAATTATTTCCCCTCCCCACTGTTATGAATACCCCATGGGTTCTCTCCTGGTGCCTGGTTGAATGCATGCCCATGATGTGACATCTGAAATAAGTCTCAAAGAGCTATTGATAACCTTGAGTAAATCAAAAAGATGCCCACCTCTGAGAAAGAGGGAATGTCTTCAGTGCATTTTCTAGCATAATTCTTATATTGTAAAGTGAAGGTTGGGAATGCTGTATAGTTAACAGCGCCTGGAGGCTAGTTCTGATCTCAGCAATGTGACCATCAGCCCTGAATAGCTCAGTTGAGTTCTCTGAAATTGTCTTATATTGCTGAGATGTAGCCTGACCATAAATATAAAATGGAATATCCAGTTATGCTAGAAGATTTGTTTCCTTGCTCAGAGGAAAATGAACAGACCACCAATTTTAAGGCATTAGTGGTGCAATAAGGTGCCACAGTCAAACATGGCTATTTTCCTAATAAACTGAAAGAAACCCAAAAGTATTGAATTTCAAAACGTAATTCATCAAAGGAAACTTTTCTTTAAGGAAAACTGCTGAAATTTTTGTAAATATCTTATACGTAACCAGTCATTACAGTGATGCTTTTCAGCTTCAAAAATGTCTAATATGCAAAATTTAGGAGATTTTTTCCAATAAAAGTATGGCTCTTCTCGAAGTTTGGTCAAGGTAATTGTGTAAACTCACACTCTTGTGATTTTCAGTGGTACCTCCACTGCACTTTCACGTCACCAAACCGGGGAAATACTTTGTTTTCTGACCTCTGTACCAAAATTTCCGTGTGGAATGTGAAGATGTTTACATACTGTGAGCATGATTTTTAGGCAGGGGCTTCTCATATCAAGAGCACAGCTCCAAATCTTTAATATTTAGATTCTGCTTAGCTGTGGTATTTTGCATCTCAGTGTTGTAGACATGCCACCAGGGATCAAAGTAGGACTGTAGAGATCCCACTTTCTTAGTAAAGCAGGCATGTGCCAGCCATCTGTTCTATCTGCTGATAGAAAACAGCAGAAAAGTTTCTCGAAGTTTTGCCAAGAAAAGGGGGGATTTATTGCTCAGCAGAGGTGAATTACAAGGCACCTTGTAGTGTAAGCTGCATCTGGTTTCCATAGTAATTTACATGGCATATGTGTAAACTACACAATTATTCTTTTTACACAGCAGTGTAAACCTGTGTTAAGTAAACAGTTCTTCAAGATTTTCGTTGTTAATCATTTCTATAAATAACCAATTTTTAACAAAAAACCCCCTAAAGTCATAAAATATCTTCACTACTTTTACAGGAGTGGCTGCAATGTACAATGTACAAATGCTGTTGAAAAGCATTGGGACTAACAAGGATGCTCCAAGCTTCAATAAATATATTTTGTGAAAATGTACAGATTTCATTCCCTGTGTTACTAACAATTTTTCTGAAACAGAAAATCCAGGCTTTCCACTTGTGTTGCTTTCTTGTTTGAAAATGTTTTGTGCCACCATCACCTTTTTTTACAGACAGTTTCACAGGTATATTCTTAGTGGTCTAAAGTTAATGCCACTAGCAAGTGCTATAGTAATGCTAT